CTTTTTCCTCCTTGACAGAGTCTCACTGTGTTGCCCAGGCTGGAGTGCCGGGCACCGTGGTTGACGCCTGTAATCCCAGCAGTTTGGGAGGCCGAGGCGGGTGGATCACCTGAGGGCAGGAATTCATGATCAGCCTGCCTGTGCCGGGAGCATCAGTAAATCAGTATTGCATATTGAATATGGATTGAATGCTAACACTAGACAGTGGTTTTAATTCTAGTCTGCAGTTATTTGCTTCCTGCTTTGGAATCTTTTTTTTTGTTTTTTGAAACTTAGAGGTGAAAAATTCCCAGGCCCTACCAGCCTGAATCATTAGCCGCGTAATAGCAGTGCTAGTGTGTGATGCCGTATATGTCAGTATATCTATAGACTGTCTTTGAATCCTGCTTCTTAGCAACTGGAGATGTTTTGGTGACAGCAAAGGGCCATCCTCCTGATGGCGGCTGGTCACAGTGGGTCAAGGGTGCTGCAGTTGTAACGTGGTTTGGCTCTTTGATGGCGCCTGAGCTCAAGTGGGGCTTGCACACTAATACTCAATGCATTTGCCAAGAAGGTTTTTAGATGACTGTCTTTTAAACTGTGGGCACAAGGCATGACTGTTCTCATAACTTACGCAATTAAAGTTTGATATTGGAACGTTGACTTCAAATGAATCATTGTATCATATAGTTCAAGTTTACCTTTATTAAATGACTAAAATGCCACATTTCCGCTTTCCCTTTTTTCTGCTTCTCTCCCTCTCCCACTCCCCACTTCTTCATCGTGAGCCCGTGTGAAGTGCTCTGCAGTGAGGAGGCGCAGGAAGTGCTCGGAAAGGCGTGTTTGCTATCAACCTGGGAAGCAGGAGGCCCCGTGTCCTCATGGCAGGCCCCAGGCCTGTGACCCCCAATCCCAAGGGAATATTGAGTGTCGTGTCATGCCACCAGGGTTGGTGGCATCTGTGGGTTGGGGAAGAGAGCTCCCCAAGGCAGCCGGGGGGGTCCTGGGGGCTTAGCCAGGTCCTCACTGGAAGTGCTGCTCGGCGCTGGCGTCCGAGGTGCTCTCACGGTCTCTAGACGTTTCTCTCTGCAAAGCTTTGCTCTTGTCGATGCCTTCCATTTCCTTTTCCTTCTGGCTGATGCACTCTCATTTCACAGGGCCCTGGTCCTGGACACTTCCTTCTGCCTTTCGGGGGCCTCCTCTCCTCCAGAGATCTTGGCTGCACTGTGAGGAGCCTGACTTCAGCTGGGCCTGTGTGCAGGTGCCAGGCCTTCCCCGGCTGAGCGGGTCCTGTGCTCTGTCCAGCTCCCCCATCCCCAGGCTGCGGGGATCCTATGCTCTGTCCGGCTCCCCCTTCCCAGGCTGCGGGGGTCCTGTGCTCTGTCTGGCTCCCCCTTCCCAGGCTGCGGGGGTCCTGTGCTCTGTCCGGCTCCCCCTTCCCAGGCTCCGGGGGTCCTGCGCTCTGTCCGGCTCCCTCTTCCCCAGGCTGAGTGGGTCCTGTGCTCTGTCTGGCTCCCCCTTCCCAAGCTAAGCAGGCCCTGTGTTCAGCCCAGCCTTGCCTCTGGCACCCTCTTCTGGGTTCGTTTGACAGTGTCAGCCTGCCACATGGTGTCCTCTGCAGATTGGCAGGTCTGCCACCCTGGGGCCACCAGGGCCTGTGCCAGGGTGCACCCTAATGTCCAGGGATGTGTCTGGTCAGGAATCATTTGGGTCCATAAACTGCTACTTATCACCCTCTCGTCCTCACTTGGAACCTGGCCCTCTTTGAGCTGGCCTGGTGGCCCCGGGCCCCCTCTTGGGGCAGCGCGCAGATGCTGTTCCTCCCACTGCCGCGTGCTCCTTTGGACTCGGTCTGTGTCCTTACCCACCATCTGCTGTTCCCAGCAGGCGCCCTTGCTGCGCTATCCCGGCATCTCCACCAAGGCTCAGCCTCAGGGGCCACCAGCCCCTCCTGCCGTGCCGTCCTCTGTTGGCCCAGATGCCCACGTTCCTTGACCCTATCCCCTTGTCCCTCCCTGCCCTCCCTTTTCTCTTCCCTGGGCATGGGTTCCATGGTTCTTTGGGACCATCCCTTCCCTCGGCTCCCTGGTCCCCCTGAACTCACCTGGGGAGCCTACAGAGGCTCCCGAGTTTAGCCCAGCTCTCCAGCTGCTGTGATTCTGTTCCCAAGGAGCCGGCCTAGCTGGAAAAAAGCATTCAACAGCTGGCTTGTCTCCCCTCCCCATGAATGAGTGCTGACCCCAGTGGGCCTGGGCACCATGTTCCACACCCCTAAATGCCACGTCACACCTCCCTCCCCTAAATGCCAGCACCTCCTCCCCAGCCCAGCCCTCAGCAGGCACCCTTTCTTCTGTTTCACCCGGAAAACAGGAGCTTTTGGAAGAGACCTTCCCTTTGCATCTGCCAGAGGCTCCTGTCTAACAGGGGCAGTGGCTGTGCTTCAGGCTCCGGCCCCACCCACTCCCCGCCCTCCTGCTAAAGTCATTCCTCCTGCACCCCAGCACAGCCTCTCCCAGATCAT